AGCAGAGCCAGCAAGCTGCCTCTCCAGAGCAGCTGTGGCAGTGAGTGTGTGGGTGTCTCTTCGAGAAATGCAGCTATTAAAATGCGTGCCATCCATCCCTGGCTGTGGGTGGCACCCCACAAGGGCTGATCCACCCATACAGCAGACTAAAGCTGCTCCTGCCTACGAGAGACCAAGACCGGCTCTGCAAAGAGAGCTCTTTGGTGGCATGTTAGAAACCTTCAGTAAGAGTGTGGAAATCTGGTTTTATAAAAAAGCTTTGTTGTCTCTGTGTCAAAAACTTGAGTGTTAAATTGCGACAACTTTTAGTTAATGCAAGGAAACCACACATTGAGAATTTACTTTTGGAAACATCACTTTTAAGCCTTGCTGTTGTCTTTTCCTGATGCTTTGGTCAACTTGGGGCGTGTAGAGCCCATGGAGGTTTTTCCTTGGGCCAGGAAGAGGCTTTCCGAGGAGCTGGAGTTTGAGTTGAGCTCAGATGTCCATTTCAGCATGGAGCTGGAATGGATGGGGTGTTGCAGGAGCATAGCCTGTCCGCCCTTGCTAGACACTGAGTCACCTATCCTTGCATTTTAAGTAGGCGTCTTGGAAAGGGAACAGTGTGAGGTAGGATAGCACCATCCCTTGCACCCATCATCCTGCTTTCAGGACCAATCCAAGGTCTCTTCCTACCAAGGCACTTGCTCTTTGTTTATGGCTGCTGCTTTGCACTAAAGCGGAGGCAGCAGAAATTATTTCATTAGCTTTCCTTTGATTTTTTCCCCCTTCTCTTCATCTTCAAAGGCAGGAAGAGAAAATTCAGCCCCACATGCATGTGCTGTTCAGCTGGACGCATGAGCTAGCATGGGAGAGCAGCCCCAAGCCTGGGGGACTTGCATTCACACAAGCACTCCTTGTCAACCCTGGTCCTTCCCCAAGAATGAAGGTCTTGTTTCTGCGCAGACCCCCCTGCCCTTGGGGGAAGGAGGCCGGAAGCCCAGCAGAGCCTTCCTGCGTAACGGGCCCGCGTGTCGTGATTTTATGTGCACGTCAGAACCCTTGGAGGAGAGCTCACAGCCAGGCAGGGCTTGGTGCATCAAACCCCCCCAGCTTCGCTCAGGCTTTGCTGGTTTGAAGGCAGCCTCTGGCGACGATGACCTAGTCATTAAATCAGGCCCCATGATTGCCCCATGGGTGTGTGGCTGATCTGGGCCAGCACCATCATCTGAGAGGCAACAGGATGTGAGCTGGAAAGGAGCCGCCCGTCTTGGAGAGCCTCCAGCACCCAACCCTGAAACCTGCGGGAGGAGAGGAGGGCTGGGGCAGGAGGGGAGGATGGGTTCCTGGCTGGGATGGGTCATGCCAGGTATGGGAAAAGGGGGGAAACACTCTGGAGAATGAGGAAAAAGTGCAGGGAAAATGCAGAAAGTGGGATAGCCATGACGAAGAAAGTGAACATGTGCGTTGCCAGAGCTGTGCAAAGCAATGCAGGAATTTTTCTGCTGATGTGATGATTTGTCTTAGTTAAAGGTCTTGCCTTAAATGAGATCCATCACATGTGCAGCTTTGCAACAGAGCTAGGGCCATGCTGCAGAACTGAGACTCACAATGTCCCAAAGCCTGAGGGCGTCTGACACGAGGGATCTAATTTAAGCCCATTAAACAGAAATTATCTTTCTCAGCAACATGTTGGAGAAGTGCATATGGAGAGCCCAGCCTTTTAAGAGGATGGATTTCTGTTCCAGAGAAAAAAAAAAAGAAAGGGAAAAAAGTGCCTCCTCAATCATAAGAGCCAGTTTGGCAATTGTATGTAGTAATTAGTTTAATTCAAATACCTAGAGGGGAAAAAATAATTGCAAAACCTGCCCAGAGAGTTTGGTGGTTGTGGGATGGTTCCCATTGGCAAAGGGTCAAGGCAAGGTCCCACCCATTGCCTTTGTGTTCCCATGCGCGGGAGGAGCAGTCAGCAGCGCTTCCCGGGAGATTTCCCTCTCCGCATGGCTACGCCCTTGGCTTGGGCTCATTGCACAAGTATTTTAAGCATGCTGATAAAAGCCCAATAGTCACTGGCCGTCATTACACTAACACCTGGCTGCCTGTTCTCTCTGGGAGCTGGGGATCTTTTCCCCATGGCTGCCTATGTTAAATATCACGCTCAGCTCCACATCTTCTTGCATACCGGACAGCATCCTCCTCATCCACCCTAGATGCTGCTGGCCTTGTGTGGTGGCATTTCTTGGTGAAAATTTGATGCCAGCAGCACAAATAATCATACTGATAGTAAAAAAAAATAATTGCAAACATTGTTTCAGAGCTGGGCACAAGTTTCTTGTATATGCTGCCAGCTTGCTATTCCTCCCAGAGCTGGGGAATAATGATTTTTTGCGTGGCCAGGTATTTTCTGCTTCCCTGAACATTACAGCTGTCCTGTATGAAGACCAGGGGACAAAAGAGCATACTGGGTGTGTGGGGGCTAGCTTTGTGTCCTGGGGGATGTCCTGGCCATCCATCTGCATGTGGAAAAAAAAGTTTTTGCCAAACTGGAGGTGCTTCCCCATCCGCCAGGTTCCTGTTAACAATGCAAATGGGAGGGCTGCTGGAGGGGAACCGGCCCAGCCGGGCAAAGGGCTTGCATATCCATCCAAATGGAAATATCCATTCTTTTTGCAAGGGGGGG